GGTTTAGCTTAAAAGGGATGTATGGCTAGTAGTGCATTTCCAAAAGGAAATGAAATCTAAAAAAAAATATTATGTAAAGTCAGAATTTTAAAAAAAAATAAGGTGATCACATTCCTGACAGCAATGATCAGGGTTTGTAGGCATCAATGCTGCACCAGCCCTACAGCTTTTAGGCTTCAGTATTGTATTTTTAAGTATTTGGCCAGTTTGACTTGGAATCATTTGTAATGCTTATTTTGTTAGAAGAGAGGGCTTTTTGTTGTTCCTGACATAAAGTGTCAGGAAATAGTTTTCCCTTCTGAGACCTTGGAATGATGCTGTCAAAAATAGGTAGTGCAGGGCTATATACAGCCACCGGTCTGACTTACTAAGGCAGCTTCTGATTTTCCTGACAAATAGTTAAGATCTGTTACTCAAAAGAATGTTACGGTTATACAGTAATCATACTGTCTGGCTGTCTGAGAAAAGCAGTCTTATCCAAGACTACTTAAATAATTCCAGATAGATTGTAGAAGATTCTTCAAGTCAGATATGAAATTAGAAGACATAAATACCAGTGCTGATGGATGCTAATCCATTCAGGCAAACAAGTGCAGAAGAATTACGAATACTTTTTTTTTCTTTTTTACTGCTAGCCAGTTTATGTTAGTGTGACCTATCAACAGCCTGAGGAAGGGGAATAAAGGAACCTTGTTTCATCTGCTTTATGAAAGCATCCCCATCTGGTTCCTGGGAACAATAATTATCATAGGGGTTCAGGCAAATGACTGCTTGTATGCTAGAACCAGTCTCCTTCTTAAAGCAGTAACAATGTAATCTCTTGTTTCACCAACAAAACAACCCTCTGTACTTTCAAGTTTGCATGCTGCAAAGCGTTATTTAGAAGACAAAGGAGCCTCTCTGCCATAACTAAGGAAAGTTATTAAACAAATTCAGCTTGGGTTACACATGCAGTGAGTGAGATGTCACTTGGGTCTTTTTCACTTCAAAATGGAAATGGGGGTGCAATTTTTTAGTGTCATGCTGCATAGTATAACCTACTCTCAAGCATGGATACTCACTGGAGTATGATTGTCCAGTCACTGTCTTTCAGCCTAACTTACTTCACAGGGTTGTTGTGAAAAAAAATTGAAGGAGGGGGGTGCTATGTATGCTCCTGGAACTCCTGAAAGACAAACGGAATAAAAATCCAATAAATAAATGGCCCCTATATTGTTCTGCTGTGATGTTTATGTTGGCCAAAGTTAATTGCATTAACAAATGCTTTGAAAGTGCAGTCAACGGAGCAACTATATAACATATATTTTTTAAAAATCCATAACAAACAAATGTAAACACACTTAGCTGCTGTCAGTAGGACTCATAGTATTGCATAAATATCCAGGATTTAATGTGGTGGCAAAACAAAGTCAGGTTCAGTATCTTTGCACCTCTGAGTGGATGGCATTCCATAATTAGGGTACTGTTTTGTATGATGTACAGTACAACTCACAATGTTGGAAAGAAGAGTAGAATATTGGCAGATATTAATATCTAAGCAAGTACATACCCTGAAATATTGAGGTCCCAAGCTGATTGGAGCTTTAAATTTCATTATTAAAATCTTGAACTTAGAGCAGAAGTGATTTGGCATGAACCTAGTAACACCCTTTTACAACTGGTATTATATGAATTCTGTATGTTGTTCCTAAGAGTAACCTAGTTGCTGTCTTCTGCAGAAGGAGCAGCTTTTACTTACTGAGCACATTGCTCATGGGAAGTTACCAGAGTATGAGTTCCTGCAGCCAGACTATCCCTGCCCAAAGAAAATGATATTGAGCTAACCAAAGCTGCCCAAAGCATTCTGGTTCACTGGCAATCCAACTTAAGGTATTTGATTCCATACCTGGGAACCACCAATACCTAAAGATGCTATCATATTTGGATTTAGCTTTAGCTTCTTGATCCCCATCTGGCCAATTATATTCCAGGCAGTGATTCTGTAACTTCAGAGCTAGGCTTGACTTAGATGGCAAGAAAAAACAGAGTTTGGCATATTAATCTAGTTCACCCTCAAAAGCTTGATAACTGCAGTGGTTGTATATATGTGTTTAACATCACAGGAAGAAAATATAATCCTACAGCATCAATGGGGATAACACTCTTCTTTTTCTTCTCTGAAGTTAGTCATCAGTCAAAATCCTGGTTGGAAACCAGTATAGAATCAGTCTAGATCAGGGTCCCCCAAAGTGGTCAGTATTGATCCCCAAGGGTCAATGGGACTATCCAAGGGGTTGTTGTTGTTATTTGTAGTACTATTAAAGTACTATTTATTAAATTATTTTCATATAATAAATGTTTGGGCGTCACTAAACAATCTGAAACTTCATGAAGGGGTTGATGAACTGAAGAGTTTGGGGACCCCTGGTGTAGATAGATGGCTAGCTCTTATGCTTTTGAGGATCTTTACCAAAGGAGGTATTGTCAACTGGATGGTATTTGTCATATATCTCTAGGTCCAGGAAAATCTTCAAGCCACATTCCTGTGTTTATTAAGGTGGCCAGCATCAGTCCAAGGATCTGCTCCCTCTTTTAGCTCTTATAAGCTGAGATGGGCAAGAGCTAAAACTTCGTATACTAATTCAGGCATTTGTTCTAGTTTCACTGTCATTAAGTATCAAAACTCATCTCCAAAGCCTCAGTTTAGTGCTGTTGAGGCCATTTTTTTGTGCTACAGCTGAAGTATATTGATTTTTCCAGACATGATGACGTTTTCTTCCAAGTGCTGAGCAAAATCATTATTACTCCACCCTACTTCTTTCCAGTTACAATCCTAACACCTTTTTTTTCACCATTTGAAGGCTGATCAGTGCTTCCACACAGATGCAAAGAAATGCAAGAGCAGCTTCTGATTTAGTTATGTGAGCCTTGGAAATGACACAGCTGCTTAAACAATTCAAAAAGCTTTGTGTATGCTCCCTCATGTATGAAACAGCTTTTAAGGGCTTTACACAGCCTCACTGTATAACATAAGGCTATACTGAACATTGCTGCAGAGAAGTCTCTGCAGACTTCTTTCCATTATTCTTTTAGCTTTATATAATAAAAAGGGGGGTTTTTTTTGAAGCATTTGACCATCCCCAATACTAGTTTTTGATTACAGTAGTCACTTGTAGGATTTATCTTTAATTTGGTTTGTGTACATATACAATCAAATAGAATATGATTTTATATTGTCCATAAGAGCTGACTGAATTTCTTTAAAAACAGAAGTACAAAATACTATGGAAATTTACAGCATTGGTGAGGATACATCACTTATTAAATTTGACCATCCCCAATACTAGTTTTTGATTACAGTAGTCACTATATTGTCCATAAGAGCTGACTGAATTTCTTTAAAAACAGAAGTACAAAATACTATGGAAATTTACAGCATTGGTGAGGATACATCACTTATTAAACATACCAGAAGCGATGGGAGCAGAATGTGACAAATAGGGAACAACTTGACTCTGGACCTTGCAAGCTTGTAGCGTACTTCCTGTCCTACAATTCATACTCAGTCCCCCATTCCTTGTCTTAGCTAGCTGTATTGAGCATTGAAAGAATGTTGAATTTCTGAAGATTATGAGCACATTTGTGTGTTGCATAGAGGAAAGAATTCTGAAAATGTGATTGAGCAGTCATGCAGATTATACTTAAGTGTTCTGCATTGTTAATTTTCCAGGCTAATTTTCCACATGCAGTAATCAGTGTACCTGCTGCTATTCTTTTTTGTAATTGACTGCAATTAGATGTTAAACTTGGTGAGTTATTAAGTTATTGTTCAGTGAATAGAACTGTAGGGAGTTCTTTCTGTCTGTAGAATGCTTTATAATTGATTAATTGTTTTTCTTTTCTTTTTTGTTCTATTTTTTTTCTTTTTTTCTTCAACGAAAGGAAGCAAAAAAGCCTTATTTATTATCATTTTCCCCACTGTTGGCATGGCAACACAGGCTTATGTTACCGAATTACAGGCAGCCCAACAACAGTCACAACAGCAACAGTCTCAGCAACAGCCAGCAGCAACAGCAAATACAACAACACCAGTGGTGGTGGCAGCAGCAACTCAACAACAATATGTGGCAGAATTGCAAGGTGCCCAGCAGCAACAGCAGCAGTCAACTCCAAAACAGTATGTCTCAGAAATCCCAACTTCTCAGACACAGGCTCCACCCACTGGACAACAAACACCAACACCAGCCCCACAGCAGTACATTGTAGTGACGGTTTCTGGTAAGTGTTTAAGGGGTAAAGGACAGTGGGGAAATTGCCAGAAAAGAATGAGAGCAAGCATTTGGAGAGATGAAATGCACTTTATTTACAGGCTTCAAGGAAGGGAGTTTGTGAAAGCCATTATGGCATTATCAGTGCCACTTCTTTAAAGACTGTCAAGTGAAAGAATAATCAGTCCAAATGTCAAATATTTCTGATCCAACCAATTAGGGCATACTGACTGCCCAATTCCTGGGCAGCTTTTAAGAAATGTTCCCCATTGCTTCAAAAAGAGAATCCCTTAAACTGCTTTGAAATATATTTGTGAAATACTCCCTTCAAAAATTATAATCATTGGAGATCCCATAGCATATCTAGGCAACTAAGTATATTTATAATTTGAAATTTTCTCCAGATACTTTCCTTAAATCTATAGTTGTATGATTTGGATTTCATTGCTTCTTGGTCTATCTTTATTAGAAGAAGAGTAAGGTGAATTTCAAGTAGTAATTTGGTTATTCTCATCAATCCCAAATGCAACCTTTTTAAATTTACCACTATAATTTTAGAATTATTCCAGTGTAATTGTATTTATGTGCTGTTGCGAAAGATTATACGTAAACAGTTTTAAATGTACTGAAATATGTGGTTTATTCCATGTTGAAAACAGGCCAGATAATACATTTATATTTGGATTAAAACTTGGCTCTCAAAAGTCAATTGAAGCAAGAGAGCTGTTTTTGCATTCATTGAGGATTGCCAGGCCCAGGATTTAATTTTTCTTAAATATATTCCCTAATTCTCTGTCAGCTACTAAGAATATACTAGTGTCCATCTTTTTTGGATTATACAGTTAATTCTCAATATTTGTGTAGTTACATTCTATAAAGTCACTGCGAACACTGAATTAGTGAATACTGAAAACTCAGCTGGGAACATGCGCGTTGGGTGACTCATATTTTTCACTGCTCTGGATGTCTGTGAATGACTGCAAAAATACCGCAAGTATTGATTTTCCAGTTACAAATAAATTTTGAGTAGGCGAATTAGCAAATACAGAATAGTCTCGACAAATTCATTCTGGGTCTTGCATCAACAATGAAGATTTGCATTTAGAACTTAGGTATGGTGATGAGAATAGAACCCCTTCCCCCTTTGTTGTATGCAACAGGACTTTTCTTTCACTAATTGGATTTTTATGGTAGACAGTTAATTTGCCTATATATTTTCAATAGTTGTTCAGGAATATCAGTCTGTGTCCAGAGTTTTAGAAGATATGACATGAACTCTGCATCAGAGCCCTGCACGGACCTGCAAGGGTGAGATTCCAGGCCAGTTGGAAATTAAATGGAATAGATTGCTTAACTTCTTTGTTTACATTAATAATAGCTGAAAATAGTCCAAGAAGATTGCAACATTTGCCTGACCCAGATTGAAAGCTGCTCCCAGTATGCTAGGGCAGGTTTGGGTCTGGTTAATACTTGGATGGGAGATCACCAGGGAATTCCAGGGCTGCAGGCAGGACTAGAAAGTTAAAAAAAAAAAAATCCCACCAGAAAGCAATGGCAAACCATTTTGGCACTGTTGCCAAAAATTGCAT